CACGGTCGAAGCCACTCAATGGACGCCGCGTCTCGGAAACCCGCCTTGCCGACGAACAGAAAGAATCCGGAGGTCACCGAAATCCCTCCAGGTCAATCCCTGCCAGAAGCGGTACGTTTCCTCTTCAAAGGGAGGTGTTGCGGGTCCGTCAAAAATCCCCGCAAAAACGAGCCAGTAACTCCGGCATAATGACTGTGGGAAACGGAGTCCAATTTCTCCCCACAACGCAACAGTGTTCAGCCACTCCGAGGCGCGTCCCAACTGCAAACCTTTTGACAATGCTCATTTACAAACTACCACCTCTGCGTGGGGACTGCTTTCCCTAACTTAATAACCTATAGCACTATCTGTGATTGCCCTTTGTTGGTCGTAAAAGAGCCTACAGAGGACCACTTGTCTTTTCTTTCTCTTCGCCTCAGTTGGGAGTCGGTCGGGTCGCGTGATTGCGTGCGAGTCCTTAACTGGCCAGCCCTCGCGTCTAAGTCATCAGCGCGCGTCTATCATACCCCCTCTCGTGTGCGTCCGTTTTCGAGGCCTCAGTGTCTATACGAACAAGTGCGGCTAAGATCGTTCCCACGCTCGTTCAATTTTCCGTCTCACCGGCTAAGCCAGCGTCATCAGGACAGCGCAATTCCGTTCGAGTGGTCAGCGTAACAAGCAATTATCGTAGGCGTGCCAGCGACCCTCTTATCAGGCGATTACGCAATTATCTCAAGAGGCGGCGTTCCCTCAATCATAACAGCGGCGACGACTAAGGCAATCTACGCAATCTATAACACACTTCAACGTAAATAAATGCAAGGTGCTTTCCATCCGACATCAGAGCAGCTACTCATGCCGGCTCGGAACGTATGTACTGCAACAATCAACCTTGGGACGTGACTTGGATGTCCTAGTTCATGATGACTTGGGTCGCTCCAGGCAGTCCGAAAAAACCTCGTAGGCTGGATACAACGTGTTGGTCTGTTGAGGCGGGCGTTCAGACAAGTAAACAGCTCCATATTTCGACAAATGCTCAGTGCGTATGTTCGCCCCCCAGTGGATTACGCTATTCAAGCCTGGCATCCATGGCTGAAGCAAGACCTTAATGCACTGGAGCAACCACAACGTCGGGCATCTAAGAATGTAATTGGAATGCACAAGCTTTCATACCAGGAGAGGCTGCAACCTTTGGGGTTGTTCAGCGGAGTCTATCGAAGACTACGAGGCATACTTGATTCTGCGAGACCCACATCATGTATGCCGCCATTTACTGCAACTCATCAACAATACAAACCTGAGGGGCCACCCATTAAAACTCGCAGTACAATACAGCCGTCTGGAGTGCCGCAGTAATTTCTTTTCCGTTTCGTGTCTGTCACTCGGGAATGCTCTCTTAGAATCGGTCGTCTCTGCACTGGCACGAACAGTATTTAAAAGGCGGTTGGATGAGGCAATCATCAACTTAGACTTTGTCACTTAGCGCTAATGCTCCATCGTACACCTGGAAGTTGCCATGGAAGTATTTGTCGTTAACTGTGGGTGCTGTGAATCTAAGAGGATCGCAGGACTACAGCGGAGCAAACGATAAGTCCTTAGTTTCATATTCTAGTATTAACTATTTTACTATCCTTATCGCGATTATTTTTATGTTGTTATCCCCACCAAGTATTCAACGGGACTTGTAAAGCAACGCTTCTTAACCCGTATAAATTCATTGTTCATTGATCCAGACACATTTGGAAGAGGTGTAAGAAAGTCCAAGTTAGCACTGTTGCTACTACGTTCAGTGCCCTGGAGTGAATCTCATCGATTCCAGGATAACGGTACGAGCACAATAAAAGCATTTCTCTCGACTCAGCTTGGTGCTCAACGTGACTTAAGGCTTAGTGGTGGGTGATGGTTATGGGTATGTAATTTGACGGACTTCCTGTAGAAAGTTCTTGGCATACTGTGACCTTTGTATTATTTCCCATTGTATATACTGCTCTCCAGGCATTTTCCCTGGACAGCTTCAGAAAGACTGCATTTTACTGGTGCGATCTATAAAACATATATCTAGATGCAGAGGCTTGTCTGGAAATTCTTTAGTTGCTTTGATCATCTCTAGACATCTTGCTGCCTGCAATGACTCTGCTTCTAAGATACTAACTGACCGATTTCATCCACTTCATAATAATCATTCCAAAACGCTCTCTTTCTCTTCTACTCGTTCGAAATTCAGAATGTTATTCTCCCGCAAGTCATCTTATCGTGATACTGTTTTGCCTTATTTCTCACGTTGGCTTGTCGACACAGTAAAAGTCACCAATATTCGGCGCGAGCTCTTTTTGGAGTGACAGTTCTCCTTTATTCCCACTTTTCTACTCAAGCATGTACATTGCTATTATCATCCAGGTGTCCGCAGTGGTGTAAATGCTGAAAAGGAACACATTAATGATGAATAAGAATAAGGCAGAGGTTGGTAATTCCTTAAGGAACGTAAAGGAGCATCTAGGACCTAGATGTATGGCTTACCGAAAATACATAAGCCCGTTGTACCCATTCGATCTATTGTAGATGGCACAGGTCCACTGACACATGAACTAGCTAGATAGTTGACCAGCATATTACAACGCTTGACAGGACAAACGAATACGTTCGTGAACAACTCTTATGACTTTGAGAGAAAGGTGTCGAGTCTTGAGGTTGATTCGGATGAAACGATGGTCGGTTTCGACGTCAGCTCGTCCTTTACCAGCGTGTCAATATGTGACGATTTGGAGATAGTGAAACACCATCTAACTGAGGACAGAAATCTGGGAGAGAGGACGAAGCTTACGGTAGATCAAATAACGGAAGGAATGGAACGGTGCCTTAACATGTCTTGTTTCACGTTCCAACCGAGATTTTACACTCAAAACCTAGGACTTGCCATGGGATCGCCAATATCCCCGTATTGGCAAATTTATACATGGAAGATTTTGAAACGAGGGCACTGACTGACTTTTGTAGCTCACCGAAAATTTGTTGGCGCTAAGTGGATGACGTCTTTGTTATCATAAAACAGGATACGAAAGACGAGTTTCTAAACCACTTGAACACTTGCGGAGACTATAAAGTTCACTACAGATTTGGAATCTGGCAGTGGAACATTGCCCTCTCTTGATTGCTTAGTTCACAGAAATGGGGGTAGTCTATAACAACGATATCTCGTAAGCCGACGGACACAGATGGTGCACTCCACTATAGTTCAAGTTACCCAAAGCATGTATATGCTGGAATTGCCTCATCTCTGCTTCACAGAGCCCAGACTCTGTGCACAGAGGAAGAAGATAGGAAGACCGACCGGAAAGAAGCAATGAACCAGTTGCTTGGTAGTGGGTGCCTAGGGCTGTTAGTGAAACGCCAACTGCGGCGGATTTTAAATCCTTAACACGGCGTACTACCGAGTGGATTGGGACGGTAGGTATTCCTTATAAAGATGGAACTTCGGAGGCCATCCGGAGGGTCTTAAATAAGAAAAGATAAGGGTAATTTTCCAGAAAGGTCAAAGGCTCCGCTCTACGCTAGTGCACTTGAAAGACCCACTTCCCGCAGATGGGACAATCAGTCACGTCTACAAAATTGGTTGCAAAGACTGCGCACACTTGAACGTCGGCCAAATCGCGAAAGAACTACGCATAACACGGCCCCCGAGAAACGATCTTGAAGATATGGCTCTACTAAGGAGATCGGCAGTAGCGATGCACGCGATAGATACAGGGCATGAGATCGACTTGGATAACGTTAAAATCGTTAGAAAGTGGTTGCGATCAATTCCCCAGGGGTTGACTGCTGAGGCAGTTGTGATTAGCAAAGTGAACAGCTGCGTGAACGGAATGGACGGGACAGAACTTTCGAGCATGGGGCAAGCTGTGTTAACCCGACCAGTCTGAGGAGCGCCGGCGGACGGATCCAGGGCAGAGAATGAACATCACATCACCCCCGCACCAATCGTTAACAGGGCTTGCGTGTATGACCTTGTACCGAGGGCCAGTTGTGACCGTTCCGTGCACTATTTGGAGTGATGCGTTGACCTGTAACACGATTGATCTGCCTACATCCCATTCACCGTGATTATTGTACCAGTTCGCTATAAGTGCTACACCAATCCTCGACTGGTTCACTCGGCCTGAGGAAGCTTTTGTGTCAAAAGCGCAACATTGCCCACAAACTATACCAACCGGTTGTTTTCAAACCTTTCTGAAATCATGAGTTCGTGAGCGGGTCCAAGTCCTCTCCATGAGGTTAAGGGTTCATAAAGCTTATTTTGACTTGACTTGCTTTGGCTTGTATACCGTTTGACTGACTATTCAGCACTCTGCGCCACTCCGACTGTCCTGTAAATTGGGGGTATACTGTGTTTCATTTGCAAAATGCTGGAAACAATATTTAGTAACCTTTTCCTTGGACATTGTTGGTTCGCCATTTTGCCTTCACGGGTAAACGTATGATTGTGGTTGCGCTTGGCCAAGTGGTCGTTCCAAGATTCGTACTCAGGACTCCTTACGCATTCCCCGCGGCATCACATACTGATACACGTTTCCAGTTATGATTCTGAACGGCCTTGTCTTAGTGCATTTCTCCGGGTATTCAACAGTAAGTACCTAGTTAAAGTATGTTTTTTGAATGAACCCTTAGTCTTGCAGAGGTGTCTACCAAAAGCTTGTCGAGCATGTTTTCCTTGTTTAGAAGTATACAGTGCAGTACCGATGACTTGCTGTCAGCGTTGTACCTGATGGGTGGACTGAGTTGATTAGGCAAGTGCACGTTCAAAACAATTTGTAAGGCCCGCTAATGAATTTCAATCTAACCACCAGTTGGCCAATGAAAAACATGCGGGTATCTTTCTTTGGTGCTCGGTGGATTGCACATGTCAAAATTGGTAACCGCCTAAACAAATTCACTAATTTCCCTTTACATCATGAACCTCTGCATGCGTCTATTACCTGAAACCGGCTATAAAATAATGAAATTATAAATGCACCTTCACTTCTCAGGAATCGGATTTGAGTATTCCCCGCGCAGATCAAGCAATGAATAATCATTGGTTCAAAGGCGGTACGAGCTACTCATTGCTGGACTTCAAATCACCGTCTACTGACAACAGGCGTAACAGAAATGGAGTATCATTTTCCATCGGATCGGTTAGAGATGCACCGTTTATGTTGAATTCCATCAATGCTTCCACGGATAAGCAGTTAGTCTCAAACAGATCATGGTTGGATGCGAATGAGTATTCACAAGAGACGGTAAGAAAGATATAGCTCCCAATCTGTTCTGTATTTATTGCACTAGTAATAGTGAGACCAGCTAAATATTGGATTTTGCCAGTTCATAACACCGTAGTTTAGGAACGGTTTCACGATTAGTTATGCTCAGTAGTTAGAAATAGCAAAGCTGCGACTGGATATTTGAGGTATCGGCGGAAGCATCTATAAAACGCTGAACCACGTTGGGCAACGCTTCTCACAACGCTTACTGACTCACGGGATGGGTCATTTTGTAGTACGCATTAGGGAAATGGTTTCCACCACGCTGTCTCATTTTGTATTAGATTCATCGTAAAACGTTCTTCATTCTATTTGGTCAGGGTGACCGCAACTGAAGCACATGAATACTACGTGTTGTCCGCTCAAAACACTGCGCTCTACATCCGGTTCTGTATTTGGTTGCAACTGTAAGATTCAGACAGCAGACTTCTGAGTCAATCCGGAGATGTAGAAGCTACCGTATGATAATATTTACTCTTAATCAACTCATCACCGATAACGCTTGTCACAACGGTTAATTCATGGACGTGGTTTCCTTGCAAATATCCGCTGTGGGAATGCTTCACAAGGTGACATTTCCGGTTCAGATGTGTTCCATCCAAATGAACTACCGTGATCCACTTCGGAGTAAATCACAGTCAAGACTGAGACGGTGTTGTAACCCATCCACACAACGGGTGCTTCAAATGAATCCACAATGAGCTTTGTCTACGTCCCCTGTCTGTGCCATCTGGCACAATGCCACTACATGCAGCGTAGGTAATATCTTTATGTTGCAATAAAACATGGTTCTACAAGCAAATAGCAAATATCGTGAACGCCGAGCAATGGTTCGAAACTAGCGTTTGAGATAATTTAATAACTATGATAAGAACATTCGCAGTGGTAAACATGGGAAGTACTTTCAAGTTTAAGTATGTAAACCGTTAGCAGACCATGTGGTAAAGAAATTACCATAGTTCAGAGTAGTGTACCTACATTCTCGCGAGGATCTTCCACTGTCACATGTCGGATAGAACCAAGCAAAGCGGGTAATGCGGAAAATGCAGTTCGGGCATCAATGAGAGGGTTTCTTTACCTAACACCTGGAGTAACATGATAAAAAGACACTCGTCTACCGTACACATATGATAGCTACCTTCCAGTGACATTCTTGTCAACATGAGGAGTGGTGGAAAAGTAGCCTGTTCACATCTTTCTCAATAAAAATTCGTTCTGAAACGACCAGCGGCATAACACCGAGGGTGGTGAGCAACGACCTGACTAAAAGCTTCAGCCAGTCAGCTTATGTCTATACTTTTCCTTAGTTAACTGAACAACATAATGCATTCAAAGCAGTAAGGAAAGCGGGTACATCCATACGTCTTTCAGAAGAGGCTTAATGCAAGCAAATAAATTCCTGTGGACGCGAAAGCCCTAAAGCACGCCACTTGTTGAGTGGTCAATTCTAAATCAACCAATAGCATATCAGACGATTTTACAACATGGGTTACCGAAGTAGGCTTGGGAGTGCCGCAGACCGCGTGCGATTTATTGGGTGCATATGGGCGCTCGAAACTCACATTAAGGCATGAGTGGTCCCAGAGAGTTGTGGGTCAGACTATTGAGTTTAAGGCTAGAGTAGGGTACCTCGAACAAAACCCTGCTCCGGAATGGGCAACCGAAGAATTTTATCTGGTCTCTAGACCCCGCCGCCAACACTTCTCCTCTCTCCTTTTCACTTTCTTCTCCCCCGTCTATTGCGCAAGGAACTTCACTGACCTCCCAACTGAAGCCAGCAAACCAAGATTCGCATTTCTCAATGGTTCATTGAACGTTCACACACTGTCTCAGATCGGACAACATACAGCACAAACGCTCACTATCTACTCCCTTGGTATTGGTGTGTGCTGTGTCTCCGATCACATCTGCAAGATAACAGCGTCATGACGACTCTTCGACTTGCTGGTTCCGAATCTGCTGACAACATCTACACTCTCCGTGTCTCTGGCGACATCGAGCCAACGGCTTAAGGTTATTAGGGTCTCGGTATCGCTCTCAGCAATCATGCTGAAGGCAATCTACTCGCCTGGATACAAGGGAACAGCTGCAAGTGTGCTGTTCGACTTCGAAAAGCGCTTGGGTTCAATAGACTGTCTGAGGACAACGAGACTTTTCAATGCTTACGTGTATACGCCCGCTGACTGCAGTTCGGAATGTATGAACGACGACTTCTATCGTCAGCAAGAACTACTGATATTGGGATTGTTCCTGAGGACATGGATGCCCAAGTGGGTCGTCTTTCGGACTCTGAACAACACTTATATGCTGTTTCCTGATGCATGCACGCCATACAGACAGCGGAGATCGATTCCTGCAATTTTGTGCTGACTCCAATCTCTATAGTGGCAGCACCGCTCTCCGAAACTAACGTTCATAATGTGTCACATGTGCCAACCGAAGTCCTCCATGATCTGGACCCACATTGACCATATTGCCGTAAACCACAGATGGCGTACCTCAGTTCAAGACTGCCGGTCAATTTCTAGTACATGCCTGAATGACGACATGCTCTAGTGTGCGCACGCTTGACACTCACGCTTCCAGCCTCAAGGAAGCGCCCGACATCTACACCTCGCCTTTGCAACTTTAACTCGCCTTCTGCCGTTCGGCGGTATCACGACGAACTGGCCGGCCAATGGTTAGTGTTGATTGAGGTTGGTGAGCTTGACGCCCATTAGCATCGTCTCAAATGTGTCGTGACGAATGCTTTTGACATTGACAGACAGTTCGGCCTACACGGTATCTCCCAGCTTACCTGCCTCTGCAGTGACACCTATATAAAGGGGTACCAAATAGAATCTCAACTCAGCAGTAACTGTGATATGGTGGCGTGCGACTCAACTCGACCACTCTTTGCGGGGATTCAGCCGCGTTCGACACACAAAGTCAGCAACGATTGCCCGCACTAAAGTGAGCTCCACCCAGTCTCCTGTCTTTGCTACTGGATGCCCCGCTGTCTCGCGTATACGTCATTGAATGCTCTAAGTTTGCAAACGAAGGCCGCCTGCTTTCTAGCCGTGGCCCATCCATCAGCGTTTTGCACCGCTAATCCATTTGGATTGACCAATACGACCTCCTCTACATATACTGTCCCTGGTATGGTTGATGCTCATAACGTTGGCTTGCCGTTACGTCTCCGTTTGAACCAGTCTCCATCTTACCGCGTAGTTTGTTAGACATCTGCGTAGCGTGGATACTGGGGAGAGGTTATACGGTGCAACTTAACAGCGTTTAGTTCACCCTACGTACAATGGCACGAGGAGGCACTCGCATGCGCCATTTGGCGGAGTTTAAGACCAGAATATTGAATGCCTATGAAGGAAGCGATGATGGGAAACAAGTTGCATCTGTGTTAATTGTCAAGCAGATAACTTTCCTAAGTTAAATTAAAACGTTAGGGTCAAACGAACCAAAAGGAAAAGGTGGCAGGACACTTGGAAATTCACTGAATGATATTTACATGAATTTTCGGGTGTAATGGGTGAAAGCGGAGCCTACAATAACCTAGAATGTCTTCGTTTCGTTTTTATTTTCCGTTTCCGTTTTGCAATGCAGTTATTTTTCCTACTTCATGTACGTTGCGCGCAATCTCCGCCTTGTGAAAAGCTTGTTGCACAGGGCCTAGAGAATTTGCAGTCCGTACGCACTAAAGTCTGAAGAAGAGTGGTTACGCAACGAACAATTTTTCAATAGGTGTCCTGAGAAATCATCCACCTTCACGACAAAACCTTAACAAGAGAGACTGACAATGCTTACGGTCAGGAGAAAGGTTGTTTTCCTGTTCCTACCGTTCAAGAAGGATAATGTAGCGAACGGCACTTGATAGTAAATCAGGCCTATCGCGGACCAACACGGCGCTTGACCACAACTCATCTACATTTGTTGATAGAAGAGAGAATTTAATCGTTGACGGGAAACATGGTCACATTCGATGTATGCACTTTATTCACATCTTTGTGGGATACTTGGAAGCTACCAGGTTGTGGCTTCGTATACAAAATGCTAACTTTTATCTATGTACCTCTTTCACTGTTCTTGCGGTAGCAAGTACAAGGGCCGTACTGCGAGAAAGTTGTCAGCGATAATCGCATATCATCTTACCCCTAACATGGTTACAAAAGGTCCCAAGCTACCTACCAGTTCGATTGGCCGCGAAACAACAACGTGCCGGTCACATTACCAGAAAACAAAAATGGTCCCACGATTATTTGGCCAGTTAACCCAGCCCATATCGTGGGCTTTGCGCCACGTTGTATACGTGAAGCGTTGTATCGGCGTGGATTTCACGTTGGCCAAAATTGTTGCTTCTCTGCACCGTGCAAACGGAAAACAGCCACATCAGTAAACTGAATTGAATAGATGTTCATGGCATACAAAACCTTGCGGCAAAAATCACATCCTGCACTTAACGGGCGCCGTACTCCTGGAATTTCCTTTCCTTCAAAATCCTATAGACAGCATATCTGGTGAGGTCACAATACTAAGCGAGTTTACGAATGCTCAGATCGCAGGTTCCGGATACTTCACGAATAACCACACAAGCAGAAAAGTCATCCGGGGTGATGCTAGGCCGCCGTGTCTTTTTGGCGTAGCAAATGTTCTCAGTCTACTCCAATTTTCTCACCAGCCTACGAACATACCGTCCGTTGATGGGCCGCTTGGCACTGTGGATGGTGTTTCATTGTCGAGCAGTTTGTTCAGCGTTACACCCGCACGCACCATACAGATGAAGAATGATCACTCGCTGATTAACAGGCACGTAACACGATTCGGATTGAAGGTAACTTGCTCGTGATCCATCGCTCAGCCAGTGATCCGATAAACAGATGACAAGAATTTCACCACTTCCCCTAGTCAAAGCCTGAATGCTGTGTGTGCATTTTGTGAGCAGCCTCGCCCTACACTGGTGCGGTCAGCGCTCGTTGCCCACACACTGA